GTTCAACTTCTATTTAGTCTTCAAAAGTTTTTGAAAACATCAAAAGGCAGAACTGAAACTCCCAATCCCAGGAAACCAATTGAACTTTTGTGAGCACTGCTTACAGCACATATGACTACATCAATTGTGCTTTTGCAAATGCAATAATGCAAGCTAGTAGGACATTTTAACAAGCTCCCAAAATAAAATAGGATTCCTACTGTAACTCAACTCCTTTCTARAATCACAAGTCCAAAGTAACCATGATGCAAAACCTCAATAAAGAATCGTTTRTCTTCAAAATGGAAGTTCATGTCAGGGCAACATACTAAGGAAACATTGTGGATGCAAACCCCAAATGCCAAGAATAATGAGGTTGAAAATTTCACAAATAGGTGCAGAATCAATCACGTCTGGATGCCATACATTTTTCCTCCAGTAAACAAGAAACTTGCTGACTAGAGGGCCATTATCCAATCATACTACTTACCTAAAAGATGTAGCCAGTGTCCTGGTGCAGAATAGATTATATCAATATGGAAATTTAAGTTTATGGATTGGAAGTTTTGGCTAATATTCACAAGCTCATGTCCTGAGTGCAAGTAATTGAATACCTTGAATTCATGAGAAACACATTCCCCCAAAGAGGGAACAAACTGAACCATTCCAAACTGTTTCAGAAGCAAGACAGCATCTTGACATTGACCAGACATAGAGTACTCTTTAGCACCAAGGGCTGGAGCCCAATAAGGATTGCTACTCCCGGATTTCATTATACCACTTTGTGGCACACGTTCTCCCCGCTTGAGAATTCCCCCATTGGACCCTTCAGTTCACCTGCCCTCAGTCCTACTGAAGGTATTTAGACAACAGAGAACTTAAAAAGAGACTAGGGTAGAAGAACCACAGGAGGTGCACCTAGGATGAAGTATGTTTTTTAGCTTAGGGTGGGCAAGATGAAAATCGAATGATTGTGATAGATGAGGGCATGAACACCCATGGCCTGGTATAGTTGAAGCAAAATGAACTACGACCAAGTCCCTAATTCAAAACTGTGTTGCCACAAACTTGCATGCTTTGGTCATGATGGTGTCCTATCGCGAACTGTTTCTCGAGATATTTTTCTTATATTTTCGGGAGTGGTAGCTATGCCAGTCCGATCCAATGCATAGTAATGAATAAATCACCCTTCAAAAATAAGCATTATGATGCCTATTGGAGTTCTAGCATTATTCCGGCTCTTTCATGAAAAAGGGCGACGCTGGGTCGACGGTTCGGAGGTCGAGTCGGACACTTCCCTTGCCTTGTGTTGCCGTAAGGTGGGCCTTGAGCCAATATTTGACATTCTTGCTCTGCTTTTTGCTGTTACCCTTGGTGCCTGCACCACCACCCTTGTTCTTCGGTTTTTTACCCCTTCCATATTGCTCAGGCTTGGCATCTTGAACTGCCTGGCAGATCACCTGAAGGTTGTCAATCAACTGTTTCGAGGTGAAGTCGCCTTTGCCGATTGGAAAGTGCAGGATCCCACCCGACTCGGTGCGATAGGTAATGGTGCTCGACTGTTCCTGGAGTGCCTCTAGGAGTACTTTCCCTTCATCAAACACAGTATTGGTCTTGGCGTTGGGCATGAGGCCTCGAGGTCCGAGGAGCCTGGCCAATTGTTTCTGGACCAAAGGCATGGTTTCTTTAGTGGCTAGGGCTCGTTGGTAGGCATCGATTGAGGCCTCCCCTGCAAGAATGCTGTCGATTAGTTCTTCCCCACCCGCCTCGTGTCCCTGACTCTTAGCTTCCTCGATTGTGGATGGATCAGAGGTAAAGACGAGGCAAGAGACCGTTTTCCCTGTTCCGTGGGGCAAAACAACAGATCCTCGTAGAGCCTGACCCGGTCGCCTTGGGTCGACGTTCAGGTTGATGGACAAATCGATGGTTTCGTTTTGATTCCGATATTCTCCGACATCCTTTCGATTAAATCAATTAAAAACATTTTTTTGCGTTATTTGAAGTCCATGTCATCACAATAAGCACAAGCGCACCAGTGGATTAATACGAAAGATTCGCAATCAAAATTGAGTAGAATGGAAGATGATGAGACTTCGCCGCAATAGAATCATTTGCATCATAGTTTCTACTAATTCTATAGAGTCCAATCTGATCAATTTGAAGCCATACGAATCGTTCCATTATTTGAATCACAGCCCACTTACTTCAATGCCCCTTGAGCGCCGTTTTTCTTTGTTGCGTTCCCATTTTGCAGCACGGGCTTTCTTTCGTTCTTCGACTCCATCAAGGACCATCTGGAGTCCAATAGGCACGGAAAACTCAGGGATGGGTCGGGGATGCGCCCTCGAAACATATGATCGCTTCTGAGAATTAGTAGATTGTTGTTGGGTTTGCAGTAGGGAAGACGACGACGATGAGAATGTCGATGTTGGCGTTGACGGGCTTGTTAGACTTGTCCTTCCGTTTCCGTTTCCGGAAAGTGCAGTCAAAGATTGCGTCAATTCTCTCCTCAATGGGAGGAATTTCGGAAGCAAAGACGGCACTTTAGTGGCCAACATTGTTGTCTTGTTGCGCAATTTTATGGATAGAACCGTTCCCAATTGCATCTAATCTTGAGCTTGAGCATACCTACCTAGGGTAGGTGTAGGTTATGTCACTTTCAATTCAACAGCTTTTGGTTTTGACGTGACATTCACAGCATGTGTCGCGGCAAACGGCAAGACGTTTTCTTGTGGTGCTCAGTCTTAAGAATTTTTCATTTTCATTTTGGGGTTGGGGTTGGGGTTGGGGTTAACAGAAACATACCGGAATTTCTGTTAACTTTCTGGTAGAGTCCTCGCTACTTTCTGGTATTTTGGTGGTAGCTTGATGGCTGCGTTCTGCCAGCGTGCTAATAGGTCGCATGGTACCATACTAAAGAAGCTACCAGAATCCTACCAGAAACTTACAAGGAAGCTACTCGAAAGTTTCAGTCCGTACATGATATTCCTATGCTTAATTTGTGTGTTACTGTAAGTAGCGCTTGCTGGTTCCATTCCAGTAACAGGTCTAGTAGCGAAGGTACGTACGGGTAGGTGGTAAAATCGTCAATGATGATTGTCCCTGTTTAGTAGCATGCGTGACCAATCCAAATATCCAAGCAATATTTGGCTTTATTTGGCTCCTCCGGTGACCCACTATGACTGTATAAGAACATTCTTRATGAATACAATAGGAATATCATGATAAATTTTCAGTCTTGACTTTCCATAGCTGTAGGTCATGCCTTGAAAGAACCGGTAGAACCCTTTCAACCCGTGAAATGAAAGTCATATATGGGGCCTGTTTGAATAGCTATCAAAGGTACGTCAGATACTTTTCACTTCTTGCAATTGACATAATTGTATACTACTAAAATAGATCTGATAAAAGCAAAAAAGAAGCAATCCAATCGCCCAAATATTGAGCTTATTTCAACAGTAAAGGTACACTTCGGACACGTATTCTGGTCCGATACTTCGGAACCGAGTAGCTCAAACTTCGAAAATACTACGAAAACGTAGTAGTAATAGTACTAACTACCGTAATATCTATTATTTTTCTTTCTGAGTTTGCACAGGAACAAAACCAAACGATTACTATCGTATCAGCGCTCAGTGGGAGTCAAGAATATTGAGAGATTTGTTCAAAGAATCGATGCTAGAGAGAACGAGTCTGAAAATACATGCTGTTGCTAAAGCGGATTAGCCACCGCACATTTAGCAAGAAACAACAGTCGAAGAACAGTAAAGTGTCCCCAAATCATCGTTGCTCGTTTTAGTATCACAATGTGTAAGGTGCAATAGTTTTAAAAGTTTATCCTAATCATATGTAGTGCACTATATTGTCAAGAAACATTGTCGACGTCGATTCCAGATCGATATCCATTTTGCCATTGGAATCAAAGACGTATTCATCGTGTTGCTGAACAGTTACCGCCTCCAAATCTACAGATGCTGACGGTGAAATTTTACCAGGTTCATTGTTGTTTGCAGTTGAAAAAGGTAGAGGGAATTCCAATGAAAAACTCTCTCTCGAACCCATTTTTGGGGGTGACAACGGCAGGGATACTCGGTGAATGTGAGATTTTGTTTTCTTTCTGCCAATCTGATGTAATTGATCAAGAATGGATCGATCTTTTTTCATAGTTTCCAGGATATTCAAATTTCCCTCGTCAAAAATTTTCATTATTGCCTCGTCCGAAACTCGAGCATCGTTTTCTATTCCGTAATTGCGATTTGCCCATTCAACCTTCTTCTCYAGATCTTTTATTTKTTGAGAAACTGCTTTGTTTGAATGGACGATCACGTCGATGTCTCCGTAGAAGGCTTCTTGGACCCTCGCTTTCTTTTCCCTCTTTCTTGTTATCGATGAACTGTATTTGAAGGAAAGACCGTCGCGCAAACTTTGTGTGACTTTTTCCCGGATCGAATTTTCATTGCATTCGACCCATTCATTCTCTTTTCCGTGAACTTTCTTGAAAAATCCCCTACCAGAATTATGGATAGCGTCAATTATCTCTGATACGATTAATGATTTCCCGAGCCGGTTAGGAGCCCTGCAATATTGTGYTTTGGCTAAATCGATACATTGACGATACATTTTATTTCCAGGATGATCCCAGTATCCTCTTCCACGGGCACAGATGATATCGTTTAGGGATGGTTCTTTTCGTATTGGAAGGTTTCTCAATATAGCTACCGGTGGTATTGTTTGCTTTTGCGATAATGGTCCGACATCATTACGTGCCGTGTACACTTGTCGAGGACTTTCACAGATGAAAGTTGGTCGGTGCACTGTGTGATTTGAATGCATAGAATATGATGCGATCATGGGTGCAGATGACGAAGCGTATTCGACTTTTTTGTTTGTCTTCAATTCTTGATTTCAAAATTTGATAATGTGAGGGGAAAAAATAGATCTAGATGATTACATCACGTGAGGAGGTACMAGGTTTGCCTTGCRCATGCAAAAATGTCCAAAATTTTATCATTTGAGGTATCGTGCTAATTCCTTACGCTTTTGAATAAACATTATTGGACAGGCCTATTACTTTTTCTGCAAAAACGTYAGGGGGTCATCGCTGAAAATTAATATTTCTAGTGTTTGTTAAGTAATTTATTCACGTACTRYAACACTTGAACCATTGGTGATAGTTTGATATATGAATGTACAGTAAYTACCAAGGTTTGATATATGAATGTAATTACCAAGGCGTAGGCATAAAGAACGTCTTCAGCTCCAGCTGSTGAGAATACCGGTAGAACACACATGAAGACGCAGAAAACCCGATTAGTAARCAGATTGCGAACACAGGTTTGAAATCGATAACGAGTTCGTACCGTAGGGTCATTTTATTACTAGTAACAGCAGTTACCCGTACCGTATGTATTGATTCGATTCGTGCARTGCAACGTRGAGGTACGAAGCCTTAAGGAAATAAYTTCCCACGAATGAGAATCTCGTCGTTCAAGATTGCCGACTATGGCTAAATTGGCATTTTGTTCCAATATTTGATTCGTACAAGACACACAAGAGTCGGATCCATGGTACCGGTATTGCGCATTTCACGGTTGATACCATGGAAGTTTCAACGTCCACCCTTACTACCGTACTACTAGTAGTTTTTCCTGGGCCCTCTGGTACCCACGCACACATCCCCCTTTTGGAATTCCTCCCCTAGAAAAACGTGAGATATTTTTGGTGAAAAATAACCCACTTTTAGAATCATGGGTTATTTCATGGGAAGAATAATCCGCATTTCTAAAATGTGTTTTTTTAAATTTGAAAAACAACCCACGAAAGAACCCAACAATAACCCACGAATTTACAGTCATCTGGGTTGACGGAGAAATAAAGATGTTAAGTACTATTTCAGTCATTTTTTAGTACTAGTAGTAATCAGCCACTGTTTTTAATTTTTGAAAAAAGGCCCGGCAGGTTTGTGGGTTATTCGTGGGTTAATTCATGGGTTAATTCATGGGTTATTTGTGGGTTAACCCAGGAACCCATGTTTTAAATCATGGGGTTATTTTTTGTGAAAAATAACCCACCACGTTTTAGAATCATGGGTTATTAGCTAGCTACATGGGAAAAATAACCCACATTTCTAAAACGTGTTTTTTATTTAAAAAAAAAACACAACATCATGCCCCCGATGTTTGATTTCAAAGGGGGGATGCGTGAGTTKGTTCTGGAGGGCCCTGTTAAAATAGTAAAATTATGGAAAAATCTTTCACAACTCTGTTTCCCCAGAACATGTTTTTGGAAGAATGAGCATACATTTACTTCAAAGTAACACAACTCCATGCTGCTGCAAGCATAAAAAAGTCACCCCTCCCACAGAACTCATTCCGTTCTTTATTCTATTCATTATAGGAACGGCATTCTGAACTCATTCACCATATACCCTGCTATCACCCCCCAGTATTTTGTCAACACTGTCACAGATCAAGAGATAAGAGAAACCAGTACTCCATATTTTACAGTGCCAAACAGAACAACAACAAGAAGGCTTAATTACCTCCCAAAAACTTCTTACTCATCTCAGCTTCAGTAAAGATTGCCTCCAATATTGTTATATCTATGTTGGCAACGAGACCAACGACTTCAGTTCCTCCTTGATTGTGCAAAAATTCAAGGAACAAGTTGGCATGAACAAGTGGTTTGCGTCACTAACTAATACCCAAGACAGCCCTTCTAGTGACATGCTGCAGAATCTTGATGGCCAAGTGATGTATATCCCTTCAGTCAAACAAGTTGGTGGTGATCATGTGTTAATAGAGTGTCGATTCTGCTGATCTAGACAGCAGGTGTTTTTGATGAACATGTTCAGTTGGACAAAAGTCCCCCCAACTCTATTATTGTTGATATAATCAAAACACCCATTGATCAATGGGGTGTTACCAGCCCTGGTAAAGAAGGTAAAAATAAAGTTAATGAAGATACAAAGTGTTTAATTTTCCAACTAACCTTCATAAGATGGTTGTTCACCTTACTAACAACATCAACAAATACCTTGGCAGGAATGAGGGAAATGGAAACAATCTTGTAAGAATCACATGTACTTTCATCTCTTGCAATACTTGAGGCTTTTTGGTTCTCCATCTGGACTCTTCTTTGAGTAAAAGCAACCAAAAGATGGAAGTTAAAGCCCCAGCAAAGAGAACRTTTCAAGTCTCCTGTTCSCTTATCAAACAAACTGCAAAACAGCACATTGAGTACTGCATGATAGATAGACTCCATTATGAGTTTTGACATGTACCAATACTTGCAATCACACCAGATTCTGAAACTGAAAGRTGGTTCTCTTTTTTTCAGCATTGGCAAATGTGATGCAACCGATTTACCTTTTATGAAATGGGACACAAAGGAGAATCAAGACAGAAGCCTCCCATGTCTGCCTACAGATATCATTGATTTCTGCTGCAATCAGGTTCTCCCAGTCATACAAACTTGACCTTTTGTCAGGCTGTAAGGAGCACAAGCGACTGGACACAGGAAGTAGCGAAAAGCTTCTCTTTTGGGCACTCTTTAAGTTTAAATCATACTAAAGTGGACAACAGTGCAACATTTGGTTTGATTGGGATTATTTTTTTCTTCACCTCCCTAACAAAAGGGGTGTGCATCCTGTGGATGACAAAATATGTCCAATTCTGAAGCAGTATCCCTGCCAGGTACTTTATTTTCTTGACATAAAGCAACCAATTGGTAATATGTTGGTCAGGGGATTTGACCTTCTTGAGCCAATGGTTTACCCGTTGGCTTCTTTAGGAAGGGTACTCTACAAGATTGCTTGTACCTATTTCCATGTTCAAGCATTAATTCAGAGGTGACTGTTGTGAGTAACAAAGGAACAATGGATGATTTCTTGTCATTGGGAGCAGGGGAGAATGGCTTACCAATTTCAACAAAATATTGTCCAGAATGCAGGATACCGAAGCAGAAAAGATCATTACAGATGGATTATGATGGCGTATTTTTCCCCCTTTCCAAGAACACAAACATTTTTGTTGTTTGGTTCAAATCTAGAAGGCCTTTTGTAATATTGTTTGTTAYTCTTTGCAGCATCAAGGAATTYCAAGTTTTTTTCTTTTCACAGAAAGGCATTCCCTGGATCCAATATTTAAAGTATTCTCCAAGGATCTGAATAGGAATTTGTTTAACAAAGATTGTACAGCATTGGATTGTTTTATTCTATGATAATCAAACCAAGTGGTCTGTAGTCAGCAGAGTTTGAATTGCTTCTTCAATGACTTTGTCCTTGTCATAATCCTCAGTTGGTTTGTTCCGTGCTTCTTCCACCACACAGGATCCATACAAATTAGTCCTCTTCCTAGTAGCTCTTTCTGTAAAAGTTTCCCATAAAAGACTGCTATGTCAGTTTTTGTGCACCTCCCTGGCTCCCTTCTTCTTCTTGTATCAAGCAAACTCCTCCTCTCAAAACCATAGGCACTGGATATTAAACTTGTGCTTGTAGTGGTAGAAGGAGAAATCTACTACTATTCCTTTCATCACTCTCCACAAATGATCTTCCTTTATTCCCTTCCATCCCTTTACCTCCCATGTGAAAGACCAATCATAGGCTCAACAATTGTCCCCCTCCACCTTTATTCTGAAATGTTGGGTCAATCAGTTCTGAAACGTACTATTGCTTGCCACGGCTCACCCTTTTCTTGTAGTTTTGTTGTCATTCAAGAAAACYYTCTAGGTTTACTGACTTTCTTTTTTTGGGWACCCACCAAAACCAAGGTCTTTCCTTACATCCTTGCACACCCCAGGCTTTTGATCCAAGAATATGAGGTAATGAAGATCCTCATCAGATAGTATGATCCACTGCCCATCACAATTAGTACCACACCATAGGTGGATCCAAAGACTCCAATTTATATGAAAAGTAGCAGGTTCTTGGGTCAGCTGACTCCATTCCTTATTGATGTATGGGCACCAGTTGGACTTGGATTTCTCATATCCTCCTTCTGTTGTATCAGCCATGGGTACTAATCTGACCTTATCATACAACTCTCTTCTTCCGTCTAGTACTACTAGTGTGTTTGAATCTGGGTATCACATAACATATACTGGAGAATGATTCCCAGTAGCCATGTGGTGTATCTRTTATTCCAAACTTTGAGTATACCTGTCTTGTTGTCCAGGGCCTTTRCACAATTGACAGCTCTCAGCCAGCGTGGCCTTGCCTCAAGCTTGTTGATATAGCATCTTCCGACTATTTCTGTTAGCCCACATGCTTTTGAGACTTGGAGAACCTTATAACCATGTAACTGAGCAATGGAGGCATGCACTCACCATTGTACCTCATTAACCAGTGCCATTGTGGTGGAAATAGACATTTTGGAAGCTGGATTACAATTCAAATTTAAATTCTAATCACCTGTCRGCAAAACAACGCACTGATGTAGTGTAAGTATTTGTATAGCAACTGTCAAGACCAAGTTGATGTACTGCAGAGACTAGCACCACCATATTGGCAAGTCCAACAATGTTTGACCAATGTATCACATCAACTCCGGCCTACAAAATCTTTTTCTAACCTTTATTTTGTAGTACGYACACAATCAGTGAAGTGTTTGTCCCAGCAACCACTGGTGTGGAATCAGCAGGGAAGGTCAGTACTCACTCTGTTTGGAAGTTCTCTGCTACTACTAGGGCTAGGAATTGTGGTGGAACCTTTGAAGAGGTTGATTATAGAGAGCGTTGGGCAGCAGCTACACAGCAGACGCAGTCTAGATATACTGCAATTCAACTAGACTGGCCTGATATTTCTTGTGCTAGTAGCAAGCTAACTGAGGGAAGAGCTTGCAGGTACAAGGCAGCTGAGGGAAGTGGCATTGCAGATGAATGTCTTGCAAGTGAAATTGCTCCAGCCATTTGTGATGCCTTTTGTGTTAGTGTTGCAAAGATCCTTGGGCTTAGCTTGCTGTGGGCTTCTTTTGAACCATCTACCATTGATTTAGTACCAACTGATATCAGGCACTGTGTGGTATCCAAATTCATTCTTCTTGTGAGTACACTTGCTGATGGATTAAATCCAGTGCAAAGAATGAGGGTGGTTCCATCAGAGGTGAGTGGATGTGTTAGTATGGATGAGATCACTGACAATACTGAAGATATGGCCACTAGGTCCGCTCAAAGATGAAGGAATGCTATTTATGCCAAGTTTTCTTCAAACCAGCAGGAAGAACTTGGACACCTTCACAATCACCAAGTTTYTGAGCCAGCTGATGTAAAACGCCAGCTGAGATCACTGCATACCACAGTAAGAGCATTGGCTGCAGCCCCTTCAGCCCCTGCAAGGATTGTGGTTTGTGGTTTGTGGTGGTGGTTTTGTTAGTGGGCTTGGTAGTCTTGTTGTTAGTAGTACTGGGACTGGTAGGGGGAGACACAGAGGTGCTAGTACTGCAACAGTAATAGAAGCTGATGCTCCTATTGGTACCTCTCAYCCTGGTCTTTCTGCTACATCCCCMTTTAATGGGATTGGTGGAAGGAAGCCAGCAAGGGATTTTACTACTACTGAACAAAGAGGCAAATGCAGGGACAGATACAGCAAGCAACTGATTATTTGGAAGTGTATGAAGAGGCTGACTGAAAGAGGGTACACAGTGACTTCTGCCATTAGAAGGATCAATGAGGTGTATGGGTATCTAACTATCAGTAAGCTKGTTGAAAAGATGATGAAAGGAATGGGGGACATGCTAGACTKAGGAGCTAGTAATCATTTCAGAGTAATTGATTTGTATCAAGTAACAAGCAATCAATTTGGAGCAATTGATTCGTATCACAATTGTTGATTTGCCCAGCAGCTAGCAAGCATTTGGAGCAAGCAACAAGCACGCAAGCACTTGATTTGGAGCAATGTTCGGAGCAATCAATTTGTTGCTGCAATTTGTTGCTGTTGCTGTGATTTTTTGCTGCGATTCATTGCTTGCTGTGATTCGTTGCTCGCTGCGATTTGTTGCTGTGTTATTCCGTGTTATTTGTGGTGTTGCATGGTGTTACGTTTAATTCCGTGTTATTTGTTGCTATCCTCAATAAAAGACCAATGTTGGATAGCTATTAAGAAATACTTAGTAAGCAGTATTCCTGTTGACACTGCTAGCAACACATCCAGTACCAGTAGTATTGGGCCTGAGGTGCTTGTAGGAATCAGTAGTAATGAGTTCCTGTTGATGTGTTTATTTCCAGTAGTAAGCAGTACTCTTGGTACTTTCGACAAAATTACAGGTTTTGACAATGCGATTCTTCAGCTCTCGATGGACTTTCTCGTTTTCTTTCTTTCCTTCTTTACTTCTTTGATCGTACGAGCGTTCGTTGATTCAATCCCTTGCTTCGCGTTTTGTCATTTGGCAATGATAATAATCCGCCGCGAGATTCAAGAGCTGGAGGTCTTTCCCACGTGTCGCAAAGAGTTGTAGCCCCATCGGTATTCGTTTTCTTTCCATCCACTCGTTTTCTATATTGTTCTTTCCGTTGCTTTCTGGTATCGATGGTGTTCCAGTAATCGGGACTGTGACACACGGCAGACCGCCGAAACTGACCGGTACGCAAATTTCCATCCATCGGTGGTAGGTATCCATGGTTGTTCCACWAATTTCTTTGGGATAGCGGTSCTCGATTGGAAAAGGCCACACCTGTGCACTCGGTAGAGCTAAAACGTCGACTTTCAAGCCCTGGTATTCGTTTTGAACTTCGTTTCCGCCCCCCTCCCCGTCTCCATTCTTTCGTTGACGAAAGATTCCTTTCAGCCATCCTTCATACGCATCATAGACGCCTCTTGCCCGCTCGAGACGTGCCTTTCCTCTGTCGYTACTAGAAGCAATCGCCTGTCCCTGTTCGAGCTCCCAAGCCAGTTCTCTCTTGATCAAGTGCCTACCCTGCTGCGATAGCAGATGTTTCACATCAAATTGTGTGGAGTAAGTTTCGTAGGTGGAAGCAAAACGGATTGTATTATAGCTCTCCCATAGAAGTTCCAAATCAAACAAATTTCCGCAAGCGGTACTATTCTCCTCACTGAGAGCCGAGGTAACATTTGCAATATTCAYCACGACAACCTTTGTGTGGTTCCTTCTCTCAAAGCACCGACGGTGGTTCCCATTGCCACTTCTCGCACTCCACTCATCCAAAGCTGTTTGACACGCCGACAGAATGCCGTCTTCGATTGGCAATTGGCCTTGCCAATCACCCAGCCATCCGATACGCACTGTTGCCTCTSGGCTTGCATCACCGAACGGATGTTTCGGGGGMAAAATCAGAGCATTTGCATCGAACCGATCCTGGTCCCCAACCATGGTTTGCAGCAACCGAGCGCAATCGAGTGGCGTGCGGGCCATGGGCCCCGGTGTGCTCGCCGGATGGGGGAGCACCCTCGATACCGAGGAGAAAAACGGGGTRTCGTCACCGCTGTTGGTATGGACATTGCTTTCCTTGGAATCCCGGACCGATTGTTCGCMATTGTTGTCACCGACTTTGGCAGCAGACTGAATCCATCCGGCCGTCGGCCTGTGGCTATAGATGCCGTTCCATCCGGCCGGATTCCGCAGGCTGCCCATGTTGTCGGTTCCATCGGCCAATGCAAGCATATGGGTGGCAATCGCAACGGCCGCCCCGCCCGAACTTCCTCCAGCACTGACTGCCTTCTTCGTCTCTGCCATGGACCCATCGCCCCGCGAGACCAGAGCGTTGAGAGTTTTGCCCCAGAGGTCGTTGAACGTATTGGAACCAAGGCCCCCTTCCGGAGCATTGGTCTTGCCAATGATAATGGCACCATCGCGAATTATAGCAGCAACATATGGATCGCTGACTGTTGCGGGCAGAGGAAGATTGGCATCCCCGGGATTGCCGCTACAGAACAAGGGAGATCCACCCATCGTCGTTGGAAAGGACTCGGCGTTGGAAACGTCTTTAATGGCAACGGGAATGCCATAGAGCCACCCGAATGCCTGCATCAAATCGAGGCGATCTCGATCGTCGTCGCTGTGGTCGTACCTTGGATTATCTAACTCACCTCTAYCGAGAGGTTTGCGCTTGGAGTTTGCCTTTTTTGCAGCCGACAAGGCTCGATCGCAGTCCCGGGCTTGTTCCATCAAGACGCCGCGATCCTTGAGCATAATGATAGCGTTGTAGTGTGGATTGAGTTCATCAATAATATCGAGCGTTGCTTGCATCAATTGTTCGCAGGTAATTTTTCCTTCTTCTCGAATCGCCCTTGACAGAGAAAGCGCATCCATGGACAACAAACCATTGTTGCGGTCGAGGGAAGCCATTCTGAGCCCTGATATCGCTCCTCCTATTGTAATTGTAAGGCTTGACGCGAAAGGAATCGGATTGCTGTTTTTCAACCTGCACGGATGTTGCAGTAGAAGGGGGCGATCTCTTTTGCAGCACCGGAAAGCAAATGTGGGGAACACRGCAATACCRAAAAACARCGACCAYCCCAACCAATAACACAGGCCGGTGGCAGCGATGCCACTCTGTCGCTGAAGTGGAAGGTAGGACGACCGAGCCTGTTTCTTTATTAATTTTGATCCARCGACCTCCTTCCTTAAAAATGTCAATCTGCCGATCTCACACAGTGCAATCGATCCCATCCCAATCGAAAGGAAGGAAAAAGCAACAAGCAACAAGCAACAAGCAACGAGCAACGAGCAACAGGCAACAGGCAACAGCTGGCGGTGAAGGAAGGAAGTTCAAACCAACTCTCTGTGTTTTTCTTTGCCGCATGTACGGTACAGGAGTAGACATGAGGTTGAGCTGAGATGAAGAGCGAAGGTTGTGTTTACCGTATGAGAACTCGCCTAGAGATACTTTTGATT